TCAGATATGGAAACACTTCCCGACTCTCAGATAATTTTTCCTGAATTTCTGTTATTCCGCTTTTTAAACATGTCTGATCTGCCATTCGAGCACATAAAAGTAGTTTCTATAGTGAACCGTATTTAGATGGGGGGGGGGGGGGAAATCAGTCGAAGACAGAAAAAAGTTCATTATATCCAACTTCCTCACTTTTTTGGTTCACTATATCCACTAAAAATAGCATTATACGTGTATAGCAAGGCACGGGACCGAGCATTTCGTTCACTAAATCCGGGAGTTCACTATAAGCCGCGTTCACTATAGCGGGGTTTGACTGTATATATTCTTGATGTTTATTTAAGTGCATTCGGATATTCATATATGCCACAAGGTGGTTTTCATAGTTCAAAACCGTTAATTTTGATATTTTCGACTCGTAAGACCTACCCAAATTTAGGATGGTAGCCCTCCAAGACTTAGTAGAAGTACGATCGATAAGTTCTTCATGAGCACAGGTCTTAAAGGTCCACTTAATAATCTGTTTGTTAATGAATCTAGGTGGACAGTATTGTCTGACCCACTTTACTCGCCCAATATTGCGCCAACGGATTTCATTTTATTCCAATCGCTACAATTTTTAAGGGTAAAAAAAAATGGCATCTTTAGATATTTTGTTCTAAAACCATTTGCACAGTAGATGGAAAAAGTTTATTTCATGAAGAGGACGATACCATTATTGGTTTAAAATAAAAACTTGTTAAATTTTGTCTTAGTACATTACATTTCTGCCTTACTAATAGATCTTATTAAGCTTTATGAATTGAATCACAGAGAATTTTAATTTAGGTTGCATCGTGTCTAGGTATTTCGGGATTTTTTCGGAGTGGATAATCCATTTGCGGATTATTATCTACCAAACCTCGACCCCGGATATAAGTTTTTCGAGGAACCAGCTAAACCTATTCCAGGTCCTGATCAGGTGCACACATTCGAGTTATCCCTGGAAGATGCTTTTTATGGTACAACTAAATCGGTCGGAATACCTCTGCAAGTCGTTGATGAGACAGGCACAAGAACAGTGGAAGTAGACAAAATGTTTACCTTTCGAGTACCAAAAGGTAAGCAGTTCCATAGCAAAATAATAATAATTATGATGATGAAAATGATAATAATAAATGAACATTGTTAGAAATGTTATGATTGAAAACTATTTTATTATGTAAGGGTCTGAATTCTTTGTAAATGGCATACTGCCATGCAATAAGAAAAAAAGAAAAATTTAAGTTCTTCATGATAGATTTTAAGATAAGCGGCCTGACAAATATTTTCTTTCCCTGGTTTATGCTTGCTTGCTATCAACGCTAAAATATTAATTTCTGAAAACTGATAAATGAACTGATGACAGAAAATTCTAAATTTTTTTCAGTGTACAAGATTATAAGTACAAGACTATAAGAAGTGTATAAGATTATTATACAAATATGTCAAACGTATAAAAAGGCAAATTTTGAATTTTTTCGTAGATTTCGTTTATTTTTAAAGCGTGTCAGAATGTGCGTCTCGATGTTACGCAATTTCCCCACTCTTCACACTTTACCCCTCTCCGTTACCATGGTTTCGTCATTTTTTCCACGCTAGTATAATCCATCTCATTGAAACGCACTGGCGTGGGGAAAAATTTGCCTAAACTATGGTTAAGGAGAGAGGAAATATGTGGAGAGTAGGGAAATCGCGTTACCTTGAGACTAGCATTCAATTTATTCAGTGGCGAGAAGAGTTAAGGTATTACGGCCCCCGTCACCTAACCAGTGTCATACAGAAATGTGTGAATGCCCAGGACTAACTTCTTGATTAGATGAACCTAATCATGTCATTGGGAGGAAAAAATATATAAATTAAAAGACAAAACAGTTAGTGATTTGCATACATAAAAATTTAAACCCATATTTTTAATAGATTTTAAGGTAATATCATATGCTAATCACTGTTTGAACATCATACTTTACTGTACCTAAAATATTTCGCTTAAGTCAAGTATTTTTCTGATAATAGTAAATTAGTTGCAGATTTGGCCGGAATAGCCTGGTCGGTAGGGCTCTGGACTTACGTTTGTGAGAATGAGAGTTCGAATCCAGCCGGCCGAAGACTCCCCGTGTAGTAAATGGTGACTGGTGCACGTTAAATCTGTCGGATACAAAGTCCTCTATGTTCCCATAACAAATCAATACCTCTGGAATTGGAGATTGACCGTTCTCTGGTTCGGGTCAAAATTAAGATCAGTGGATGACTGAATGAATGTATGAATGGGTCAGCCCTACGAACGCGTGTGACGTATGGATGTGGCAAAGTCGAATTCTTGGCCAAAGATGGCGCCACTGGAAAACAAGAACAATCGTACCCCTTCTTCCTTAATGGCCGACGACAACAGTAGCAGATTTAAAGTTCTATTTTTCTTTTCCTTTTATGGCTCTACAGCCCAGTTTATGGCTATGACTTGCTGAGCAATGTTGCTCCAAACCTTCCTTTTCTTTTTGTTTCGAATTTTCAATTAATAATTTTTTATTATAGTTAGATCTTTTGTTGCACCACCTAACCATGTCTTTTCGGGTTTGAGTTTATTGGTTTCCAATTTAAGGTCTTCCTCAGCCCCATATATAAATTTTTTTTTCGAATGCTCAAATAAGAAAGAGACTTAAGAGCACATCTTACTAAAATTACAAAATCTGTTCCACAAAAATTATATGGAGTTCTATCTGTCCTAACTGGAGATACAAAATCATTAAAATTAGGAATTATTGCTATCACGGAGGAAAGACTTTATCTTCAGATTCAAGAAGTGAAGGACATGACTCAAAACTTTTATGTTGAGCTTGGTACCCGACAACCTTTTTTAGGCAATTTTGACTAAAATATCACCTTCCTTCCTTATACCTTCTTATGTAAAATAAAACTAAGGACCTTTCTCTTTCAGAAACCTTTTGAATTTTGTCTCTACGTCAAATAGAAATGCTATGATGATATAAAGAAAAAAAAACATCGATTTTAGTAAAGAAATTGATAACCGTGTCTTTTTTGTCCTTTTTCTCAAAATAAATTTTTCCGTCATTTTCCTTCATTCAAAATGCATTATCTTAAAATACTTTAGTTTAAATTACTTGAAATTTTGTATGAAAGTTCTCTATACATATGTGTTTTGTTTATGTTTTCTATACACTAGTGAATTAAACTATTATTTTACATTTTAAAAATAATTAATTGCAATTTTTGGCTTTTTTTTGCCAAATAAGTTTTTGCTGTAAAATTCTAATGCCAAGTCTGTTCCTTAAGTTGAATTTTTGAGTATTATAAAGCAAGAATAATTAAAAAATAATACATTTAAACAAAGTTACCTGATTTTGAAAAAAGGTTCATTTTTGGTCTCTTTTGACCAGTTTTCCTCCCTATTTGTTTGATTTTCATCATATTCTTTTATACATTTATACATGATTTATTGTGTAATATATACCGAAATCTAAGTAAAATATTTTTAAATTGAAAATTTCAAAATTTTGTCCCGAAAGGTATTAAGTTGCTAGACTAATTTTGTAGGCTTTACATTATATTTGACCTTCATAAATACGCTCTTATCGCTATGTTGGCATTTAATTTGTTTATGTAAATTTTGTATGTTGGTATTTAATTTTCTAATGTAAATTTTGCAATATTGATATTTTGTCAATTATGTATACGTATATCAATGTTGTTAACTTTGTTGCAAAGTCTTTGTTCTTTCACCTTTGCTATTTTGTCTTCCTGTATGACCCAAGCGTCTTGATTTTATGAATCGAATGTTTTTTTTTAATAATTAGATGTCCAAGTATGACATGGTATTGATGCATTATAGTTAGTCGCATTATTTTATTTATGAATATGAATTATTAATCACAAAACTTTGAACACAATTCATTCGAAACTGTTTCTCTTGCTTGCTGCGCCGTTAAATAGTAAAATTTTTGACCAATCGGTTTCAAATTTTTTAAAAATCTACGTGCAATAAGAACTGCATTCATGTAATTTAAAAAAAAAAAATCGAATTTGGATAATTTTTTTTCAATTTACATACAGCCAGTAATACAAATACAGCCAGTTCATTTCTTCAATTTTTGTATTTGTGACATGAAAAAATAAAGATTAAAATATGCATAAGTTAAAAAAAAATTATTAAGTAAAGTTTATCACGAAATATTCATAAAAAAAAAATCCTTATTTTTTTACAGGCTTCTACTGTGTTGTTCATCCTTACACGCAATATCTACGTAAAGTTTACTTATTTTATTATCATATACTTTTATACTATCATACAGAAAAAATTGTTAAAATTTGGCATTGGAAATTTAGGAAGCCTTATCAATTTTAAAATATTTTTAATAATTTTGCAAACTTTATTGCCCCAAAGTACTTTCAAAAATATATTTTTAATTTTATTTGGTTACCAGTAAAACACAAGTGAGTCACATTGAACTTATTTATTATTATCAAAACAACAACCATTGTGTTTTAAAGTTGTTAACAACAACCATTGTGTGTATATCTGTGTCTGTAATTTTTAATGTAACTCGAAAAACAAAAGAACTAACTCAGAACAAACTCGTTTTCCAAGATGATAGAGCAACTCGCAATATGAGTAGCGGCGAATATAAAATCACTTTATTTATTTAGTCATTAAGTGTAATAGAAAGAAAATTAAAATATAAAAAAACTAGGGTGTATTTAATTAAAATCATTAAATCAATATATGAAAAAGTATGTCGATTTAAAATATAATTGCATTTAAGTTTTAATCATGAATTATCGTGTTTCATAAAAATGACATGGAAGTAAAATTAATTTGGAAATGAAACTGTTATATAACACCCTCATGCAGTCACGAGACTCACTACTCATTTTATGTCACGCGCTCAAGTTTTCGCAGACTACTCTTAGCTCAGATTACAGTGAATTAAAAAAAAGAAAAATGAGGAAGAGTGAGATAGCTTTGATAGAGGTCGAAAACAACATTCTCTTTGAATCTAATTAGTAGGAGAAGCACGATAACTTGAAAGGGATTCTGGAAGAGAAAACGATATTTTATCTTCCGAAAAGGCATTGCATATTTTTTTTTATTTATTTGTTTTTATTTCGATTTTCTTACTGGAGATGATTTTCATTATTCTAACAGTGCCACTTAACATTCGTCCTTCAAGTTATTGAAATTGAAAAAAGTGCGCTTAGAACAATTCTGTATCGTTAAGACTTCAGAGCAGTATATGTGAATGAATTCTTCGTTCTTGTTTCGGTTAAAATTATCAACATTTTGAGAAGTTTTCAGTGTCTGAAAAAAAATGAGTGATTTAATTGCTGCCGATGAAGTTGACTGTCTTATGAAGTACGGTGTTCTCACCAAGAAAGAAGTTTTCAAATGGTGCATTCACGCATCTGCAATTCAAAATTCAACAGCAGACGATAAAAGAAGTGATTTTTTTACATTCGGACCTTCTAAAGGAGACAAGTTTTATTTTCAGTTACCTGCATCTAAAAATTCAGGTTCTCAGTTCAGTGTTTTTCTGTGCAGATTGCCCTCACAAAGTCCCGAAAATCAAACGCAGGACAAAATCAAAATAAAAGTGTCCTTAGCGTTGCTTGATCTCCGAGATCGTTTGCACAATACTTGTGAGAGGATTATGGAAGATTGCGATAAGGTTCAAGCAGTTTTTGATCGTAGTTGTTACGATAAATACCACAGTACTTTTCTTCGATCGGGATTCATAGTTATTTATTGTGCTTTAGACGTCAACGAAGTTATTCAGGACAGTGAAGTTGATAAGGAAACTCCAAAAATCGTCAGCTTCACCGATTCCTTATCCACTAAAGATTTAATTGACGATTTTTCAAATCTATTGGAGAAAGGATTACATAGTGATGTTACACTCGCTGTGAAAGGAAATGATTTTCCTGCTCACAGAGCAATCTTATCAGCTCGTTCACCAATTTTTGCAGCTATGTTCGAACATGATACTAAGGAAAAAGAAGAAAACATAATAGATATTGTTGATATACCTTCGAATGCTATACAACAGTTGTTGTGTTTCTTATATACTGGTAAAACAGGACCACTAACAGTTCAAGATGCTCTATCTTTGTTTATAGCTTCGGATAAGTATGCTGTTCCAAGTTTAAGGAAGCAGTGTTCGAATTATTTGTGTTCAAATTTAAATACTGAGATTTCATTAAATGTTTTAATTGTTGCCTCTCAGCATCAAGACGATGACTTGAAAAACGCTGCAATTCAAGGAGTTCTTGATAATGCAGTACAAGTGTTAAAATCAGATGAATGGTTGTCATTTTTGCAAGAATATCCTGAAATCGCTAACAGTATCATTCTGCAATTGGCGATTAAATCTCAGAGAGAATAATAATATTAAAAAAAAGTAGCTGTTTTTATTTCTATATTTTTAGAATTTTCATGTTTCTGTATTTTTATAATTTTCTATTTTAATATGAATTTTATATTTTTCCACAATGTTAATATTAGAGGTTTGAAAAATTAAGATCATAATACTCGATAGGAAGAAATTTCTAAACAATAAAATATTTTCTTTACAACTTTGTATGTATCGTTGAACTATTTAAAAATTGTCTGTCAAAAATGATTTGGTTTATACAGGCTTATAAAATTGTTTGAATTTCGATAACAGACTATCTTTAAGAATGTTTTTAATTATGAGAAGATTTTTGTATCGTTAATCTGTGGCAGAATAATTGCCAAACTTAATGACCTGTCACAGAAACTTTATTCTAAGTTAATATAAGTAGTTAACTGAAAGGAAAACGATTGCTTAACTATTGCGAAACGAAATAAAATTTCTCGGGATATTTTTAAAAAATCAGCAAGGTATATATTTATAAAAATCTAAACCCATATTTTAAATTCATTTTTTAATTAAATGTTTGCCGAAATTATTCTATGATAAAAATTAAAATATTTCCGCCAAAACAGTCTCATTTTTTAAAAAAAATTATTAAAATTTTTGGGTGATTTTCTCTTAAATATTTCAATATCCAGGGTGGTAGGCCTGGATATAAAGCCACTTGGAGGCCCTCTTAAATAATCGACAAGTTTCAGTTAACATGCATGACGGCTCTTAATCACAAAATCAAAATATAATTTTGATCTATGATATTCAAGATTTTGAGATATGATATTCAATATAAATCTGAAGTAGTTTGCATGAATTAAATGAAATTTTTAACTGAAAACAAAATTTATTAAATTAATATTAGATAAGTTATTTATGACCTTATTCACGTAGTTTGACATGGTTTACTTCAACACTTGCATGCCTCCTCATTCCATGCTTATAAGTGCTTCCCCCATTCAACTAAAATTTTAATTTAAATCAATAAAATTTGCAAATAAACAAAGGTTAAAATAGCTTCCAAATACAAATATTGTTCAACTTATAAACAACAATGCAGACTAATTTATGGAAACAAGTTGATAATGAAATGCTATATGTAACTTGTAGAAACAAGTAGTAAATGAAATGCAAAATAACTAAAAATAAGTAAGTAATGAAATGTAGATTAATTTGCAGAAACACAAAAGATAAGGAAAATTAGAATTTGTAAAACAAGCAGATAATGAAATTAAGATTAATTTGTAAATTAAAAAAAATAATGAAATGTAAAAAAAAAAAAAAAAATTAGAAAATGAAATCCAAAAATAGATGGGTGATTGTAGATCCAAAAATAGATGGGTGACATATAAACTGTTTAAACACTTTTATGTTTAAAATTGAACATGAAAAAAAGTTTGCTAGTTTTTTAATTATTTTTCCTGTAAGTTGTGCTCTTATCCTCACAGTGAAGTAATAATTTTAAGTACAAATCATCGGAAATTATTCTATAGGGAATAACAGATAATCACTGTCTATTACTATTTTTAAGACTCCTTGTAAAAAAAGAAGCACAAAACGCCCACACTTTGGGAGTCGAAAACAATTGTTTATGAGAGAAAGCAGAAATGCTATCGAATCACTAGCGAGTGTTAAAAAAAAATCCAACAACATCGAAACCAGTTTGATTGTCGAATGAAACTTTGAGACATCATCATCGTTTTCAATAATCGCATTTCAACTCATCTTTGTTTCTCTAGACCAGTGTTTCCATAACTTATGACTTTTGTGTACCCTTTCTAAATTTTTCGTAATGCTGTGTACCACTAATAAAAAAAAAAAAAAAAATGAATGCATTTTTTACTATAAAAAATTGCACTAAAGTTAAAAGTCACAACTAGCTGTTGACACCACTAATTATTAACTGTTAATTCTGCAAAAAATAGCCAACAGAGAAATACGTAAGCGTAACTTTTCATGGCTAGCTTTGTTTTTAAATAAAATTTTCGTTTGTTGCAGAATATTTCGCATAAGAACGCGTATCCCCGTTAAACTGTTCCCGTACCTCTGGGGGTACGCATACCACACTTTGGGAAACACTACTCTAGACAATGGAACAGATTTTAGAGTTTTCAGTTTCATTTTTTCCATTAACGAATTGTTAGATTTCGATAGCGGTTATGCTTTTTTTTAATTTTTTTTTTTATCTCGCTTAAAGGTGCAGTTATTTTTGAAAGTGGAATAACTCCATTTGGAAGTTGGTATAAGTCCGAGGCTTTTAAGGGTTAGAGCTTGAATGAATTTACAAATAGTGGCAAAGATTAACTAATTTAAGTGGTGGCGTAGCGAGCTTAACTCACCCCCGGGGCACAATACCCTTTTAGCGCCCCCCCCAATTCGAAAACCATATAATATTATATGTAAAATAAACTCGCAAATTAATAAATAAATAAAGTAAAATAAATAAAGTCATAGACTCAAGCTAGGCTTTAAATTTGAGACAAAAAATGTAGTTGAGAGAACAAAACGAGATTTTGAAATGTATATGATCATCTAGAATTAGTTCAAAAGATACCTATTATTTATTTTACATATTTATAAAGAAATATTTTAAAAACACGCACTTTTAAAACAATAAAAAAGTAAATATTTATTATCTCTAAAGAGATACATATATTTAATAATCATANCAAAAGTCCATAATATTTATTTCTTTTGATATCGTTTATTAGTTGATTTCGAACTGTAGATGCCAGAAGATGAATGAATTCATTTTGAATCTGTGGTGACAAATATGAGAACAACAAATTTTTCTGTTAACAAATTTTTTCATACTCGATTCACTTAATAATAGAATTGTCGAGTAGATGTAGTAAGTAATCTTATTTGATTTATTACTTACCAAGAATGCCTTGAACTTGAAAGGTAGTAACATAGTGAAATATACAATATAATTTATGCTGACATTAAACTTATATATAACATTTAATATTTAATAACATTTCATTTTTATTCTAAGCAGAGCGCGATGACAAGGACGCAAAACTGAAAAATACACGCCCAAAATAACTTAAATTTACTATTTCGGGTATTTCATAATTTGTTGCGGGCTTCCGCAACCTGTCGCAAATGTTACGGATATGTACAGTCACGGAAAAAAGTATCCGGAAAGTAACAAATAATCTTTTTTTTTTAAAAAAAAAAACAGATAATTCTCAGGCACACAACGAATACGGCGTTGCTTGTGTCCTTTCCTAGAAACAACAAAACGCTGTATTTGTTGTGTGTCTGAGAAGTATCTATATTAAAAAATAGACGATCCTTTAGTTGTTATTTTCCGGACACTTTTTTTCCCGTGACAGTACATATAACTACATTAGATTGTTATTGTTTTAAAATAACAAGCGTAAGCTACATTGCGTTTATACAAATAAAAATAGTGTTCTGAAAGAAAGAATGTTTGTACTTTGTACACTGCAAATATTTATTATTACATATTATGAGATAATTTATGTAATCACACAGCGTAGATGCCATAAGGAAGTGCTGACAGACACAGGTCGAGTTAGACAGACATAGGTCTGCCAGTAGAAAAGACGTGCCATTTCTATTATGAATATATTATTACAGTTTGATTTAGACTATTAAAGTGACATTATGAAAAAAATTAAATATTATGAATAATATTTATTATATTTCACTGGCACTAAATTTAAAATATATTTTCCAGAAATCAATTATAATAAAAAAAAATTATCCAGCAATTTTTTTGTTTTGCGGACTATTTAGCGCCCCTTTGTGAGTAACGCCCGGGGCATGATGCCCCCCTTGCCCACCCCTCGCTACGCCACTGAATTTAAGTGATGTTTTAACACTATAATTTGATGAAACATGAAAATGCAACAATGATTATTAATATAGTGGAGGGAAAGAAAGAACGACTTTTTAGATAGAAATGAACTAACTCCATTCATAAAAACAACGGCTCAAATTTTAAGTTTAAAACCTTTTAAAGTACGCACTTTAAAAAAAAAAAAAAACTTATTTTCTACAAGGTTTCTGAAAATATACATTAAGGGTGGTGTTTACAGAATATCTTGGATATCAGTAGTTTCTAAGTTGTGCAAAATTAAAAGTTTGAGTATTCGATACCTTCTTATTGATAATAGATACTTTATAAGAAAGATTTTTTTTTATTTATTTATCTGGATACGCAAAAATTTATCTTATTTTTCAAAGATAGTTACACTTACGTTACAAAGAAGAGTTACACTTAGAAATATCAAGCCTAAGTCAATTAAATAGCTTGTTCATTTATTTTAATCTTGTTTTCCCATTCAGGCACAACAGATGGTCATTGTTTTTATTTTAAGAGCGCTGGGACATCTGGTCCAAACATATTACCTGGCGATGTAACTTTTCGGGCTAAAATGAAGGCACATCCTGAATTTAAGTTAGAGGGTCATGATTTTGTAGTTTCTAAGACCATTCATTTAGCCTATGCTTTGACGGGATGCGTCGTCGATGTCACAACTTTTGACGGAAAAATTATTCATATACCTATCCACGATGTTGTGAAACCTAAGCACAGGTAAAACTTCAGCTTTTACGATAATTATTCTTCCGAAGTTTTTTTAAAAAAAGAAATATCACCGATATAATCATGATTTATAAGTGAACGAATCATCTTTATTTATTAAATGTTTCGTTTAAGTAATTTTAAAATCAAGAACAAGCACATGAATGAGTACACTTTGAAACTAAATCGTGAACCACATCGGCAACCATTAATGTGGTGTTTAGGTGTACTAAAATGACAATAGGATTATTTTAAGCGCTTTTTTTACTATCAATTTTAACGTAATTCAAAAATGATTTTTACTGATGGCAAAATAAGGTGTTGAAACATCATATTATGTATATAAATATATATAATATGTAATATAGCATGTATAAAACATAATGTATATGAAAACAATAAATAATGAGACCAAGGGGGAAAAACAGTTTGTGTTCATTTTTCACAAGAATGACGATTGGATCGTCATTTGTTGCATTTTCCGGATTTCTAAATTTTGACTAATCAATAAGATGAAAAAATCGGTTCTTTCCGAGAGTTATTACACAGTGAAGATGGACCGTACAGTGGACAAACCGTTCCTCTCCGAGATCTTCATATGTATATGGTTAAAACACAAATTAATTTAAAGCTAAGCACTCCTGAAACAGCCCGTTGTTGACCAGAAAAGTCATGGAGGCTTAAGCCTCCAAAATTTTGAGACACACGTCAAGATGGTAATGTGGTCAGCATCGCGCATCGCAGACATTCAGGGCGAAGCGGGCATCAAAGAAAATGAATGTAATATTTAATTAATTTTTAAACGTCGTTTTTAACTAGAAGGGCGTAATTACGTTATTTTTTTTATTTGCGCAATAATATTTTTTTAAAATTCAATCACGTACTTTATTTAAGAAATTATGACTACAATATCACGCCTGGCCAAATCACTGGAAGCGAATTAGAATAATTTCTAAGCAGCAGAACCTAGTCAGCTTACAGTTTTATCCTCACATAAGAAGTTTCACTTTATTAAGTAGGCAGACATTTGATTAATTAACATAATTATTATTAATTAACATAATTAATTAAATTACTATTAATCAACATAATTATTCTTTTAGAATTTGTCTTAAGGGAGAAGGAATGCCAGTAATAGGGTTTGCTTGCAGAGGCGACCTGATAGTCGAATTTGAAATACAGTTTCCAAATCGTCTCAGCGTGAAACAAAAAGAACTCATAAAACAAGCTATGTTTAACACAAGTTGACTCACTATTATCAGGCATCTGTTTCATGAAAATCAATGATCTCTAGAAAATAACACTACAAATAATAATGATATTTTAAACTTTGTTTCTGAATTTTAAGCGTCTATTTTAATGATAAAATCAAAAAGATTGAAGTAAACATTATCTTTGAATTCAAGCAATTTTTAGTTACTTTTTTTGAAAATTCAATTTTATTTGAAGGATCTGAAGGAATTGAGTAAAGCAAGTTCCAGGTTTAATAGAATTTTTCAATATACCCCCCCCCCCAAAAATACTGTAAGTTTAAACTTATTGCTAACCCACCTGGGTGTTTAGTTAAATTTAAAACTCACAAAAAAACAAACAAAAAAAACATGCAATATATTATGCTTTCTACATCGCATAAAAATAAATTCCTGGAGAAATCCTGCATGAAAGAGAGCATGGGTATTTTATCAAAATTTAAGTTTCTTTTCTTTTTTCTGGAACTGAATACAAATGGAATTAATTTGATTCTTAGTGGAGAGATATTTCTTTTCTTTACAAAATAAAGTTTATAAATCTTTTTTTTTTAAGTTTAAATTTTTTTTAGCTGAAATGAACTATTAGAATTAACAGTCTATTTGCTATTGTTCTATAAATATACAGAATTAATAATAAATAAGCTGTTACTATCGTAGATATTCCATCAATATTAATATTTAACTCGTATAAATACAGACTGATTTGTAACAGTCGTATATTTCAGTAAAAAATTAAGTGAAAAAGTATACACATTAGGCACTGAAAATTAATATTTTCAAATGTTTTTTATATGTTCTCTGTAATGATGTTTCCTCCTTTTTAACTTCTTTTTTATTGTTTAGTAGATAAAAAAATTATTTCACTAATCTTCATCCTTTCGTTGATGAGTTTAATAATATAACCTGCATAGATATACGTATGCATGTTTTATAGAACGTTTGGTACGAATCTTACTATATTAATTTATAGCTTAAAATAGATTCTCTGATTACTTTTAAAACTTAGGAAATAGTTCTTTTACAAAGATATTCCAATTAAATTATTTTCTAAAGTTAAAGGGTAATAATTCTTAGAAATATACTTATTAAGAAATTCTAAAAAATTCCATAGTGTCTTTATGGTATTATTTGTTAAAACCAATAGAAATGGGTAAATTTTCCTTTTGGAAGTCATTTAATTATGTTAGGGAAAATTTTGCAATCAATTCACTTTCAGATAATAAATAAATAAAATAATAGCAAGACAATAATAAAAAACTAAAGACTAAATAAATAAATAGCAAGACAGCCCAGATTTGAGTGACTTTTTCATAACCTCTTGCAATCCTGTCATCCTACTGACCAAACCCCAATACTTTAACTGAGGAATTACAGAATTTAACATCAGATGCTAAGTAAAAATAAAAAACAATATTTGTGTTGTCTATTTAAAATACTTGTCGTTTCTACAAATAACATATTTTTATTTTAAGTAGAAGATTTTGAAGTTAATTACCATAGCACTTATGTAGATTAAGACAATAAATTAATGTAATTATAATTTTTTTGACTGAGAGAAAATTTTATGAATCAAATTAATTCATGATCAAAATTTTCTGATGTGGTACCGTTTATATTTAATTCATATAAATAAACTGTAATTTATATTTCTGCACACTATAAACTGTATTGTGCAGAAACAGTTGAAAGATAGGAGGGCTCTAAGTATCAGGAACAAAAGCATTTACGATTACAAACAAACAATTTTTAACAAGGAAACTGTTTTTCAATATTTGATATACAATAATACCATCTAAATCTAAACTTTTCTTACAAATCCTTTTTTAAGCTATAGTTTCAGTAGTATTTTGAAAATTATTCTAAGATATTGTAGAAAAAATATTTGCATGAACCTAAAAATGTTTACGACAGAAATTACTAAGGAAAAAAAAGGAAGTATTTTAAACTTTATTGAGCAAAGATTATAATAATTAAATTAAAAAAACAATTATTAGGATGTAAATTGATTGATGGAACAGTGTGTTAAATTGAACATTCCATACAAAACAAAACAGTTGAAAACTTCAACATTATAGGAAAACAATAGCATCATTTAAAACATATGAACTAAAAATCTGAAGTAAATTTCAATGAATGAATGTAGAATATTCACCAGTTTTGCATAAATCACAAAACAAACATGTATAAGCTAGATAAACAAATGAGACTAAAAGGTAAGATTTTAAAATAAAATACTGCACATATATTTATAGTAAAAATAATGTTTCTATTGGAAAAAAAAATGACGGATTAAAAAATAATGTTTAAACAACAGACTTACTGATTTTATGATTTAAGTAATCAGAGTAAAAATTAGGTTAAAATCACCATTAAAAATGACAGTAAAAATAATCAGTTGTTTAAGATTTGAACTACAAAAATTAAGGCTATTATTTATGATTTGAAAAAAAAAAAAGAAAAGAAAAAAAGAAACAAGATAAAAAATATTTTTCTGTTTATTTATAAACCATAATATAACAATATTTTTTTTTTAAACAATCATTTTTGTCAATCAGAACAGAAAAAAAAATCTAATTCATAATTCAGGTATTTACGGTTAACTACGAAGACTAAAACAGAAATAAGTAATAATAAAAAATTATAACAAAGAATAAAATGAAGTTATAAATTATTTAAACTGTATTTAAATATGAACAAAAAAAGTTTGGATAAAATGTCATAATTGTGAAAAAAAAGCCTTGAAATATTTTTTTTTAACAAAAACAAAATAGATAAAGTAACACACATGTAAAGCAAAAATCACTGCAAATCAAACCAAAGGCTAAGTCTAATTAACAATTCAAATAATTGAAAAAAAAAATTAAGTCAACATATACAAAAAAAAAGCAAGGTGAAACAAATTAATAGTAAAGGAATATGGGAGAGGAGCCTGTGGGAAATTAAGATTATCCAATTTAAAAAGTAACCAACGAAAAGTGTTAATATTATGAGTCTAATTTAAAGCTATGTATAAAGGCAGTTAATATTTGGACAAGATATGAAATTGACAGCGTGCAAATTGAAGTCTTGATTTCTTAAACTTAACTCTGACTGTAACCTTCCTTCACTCAAGGATCTAAAAACAAACTTTAAAAAAGTAAGGACAGTAAATTTTAATTTTATACAACTGTCTAAGAAAAAAATGTTTTACAGAGAAAAGGTAGGCATATTTTGCAAAATGCACATACCAAATAATAGGTAAATAGGTAGGCAATAGGTAATAATAACAATAGGTAATAGGTATAAATAGGTAGGCATATTTTGCAAAATGCACAAACCAAATAATCTGATAGCAGTTATAAAACCTCAAAAAACAAAATAAGTAATTATTTTCATACATACATTTCCCGAAAAATTAACTGAGGGGAAAGCAACCCCATTTATTCTTTATTCAAGAATAGGGAGCAGCTTGCTTTTTAGAATGTACGAAAGCCAGTAGCAGTTTGACCAAAGACGTGATGGATATTGGTTTTCAAACACATGGAAAAAAAAGTTCAGCTGTGTATTTTTGAGTTTTAAAAATAACATACTTATAACAAAAAATAAATTTTTTAACATTGATAATGCATTAATATTTCTTTTAATATTAAACTAAAAATGAATAAAATAATAAAATTTTTATAACATAATTTTCTTATTAAATAATATTGAGATCATGAATTATGATCAATGCAATTTTATTTAAATTTTAGAATTTATACTAAAAAGAATATTTGGTCTCAATGAGATATGAAATGAAATACAGTAGAGAACCGATTATCCGGAACGATCGGGACCATCGCTATTCCGGATAACTGATTTTTCCAGTTTTCTGAATCGCTACAAAAAGCCGTTTTTTTTTATTGTCAAACTCAACTAAAAAATATATATATATATTTAGAATAATCTAAAAAAAACTCTTACTTCTTTTAACAGTGTAGGGAACTAATGATTATTTCTAAAATGATGGTAAACATCTTTTAAAGAAGAATTCTGAAATCTTTTGAAAAAAAAAAAAAAAGGCGGGAAAATGTATCGAATTTTGTTCCGGTTTTCCGGATAAGCGGTTCTGTACTGTAATATAATTTATAAAAATATTTTTAGTATTTCGTAAGTATGATCTTTGAAAAAAATACTAGTTAAATAAAAAAAAAAACATTTTTCGTACAAGTAATGAGCAAAACAATTTGAAAAATAATAATTCCAAGGCAGATGGATAATGAGGATATTTTTAAGCTAAAATAACAAAATTTATTATAAAATATGCAATTCAGAGTAAAATATAAACATTAATATTCATATACGGAAGATTAAATCTATGTCTTTTTTAAATAATTTATACAAGGGTGCACCCATGTGTCACTTATTTTGATATTTCAAAAAGACAATACCAATTTCAACACAAAATAAAACAATAATTGTATTATTTATTATCAAAAATTAAAAGTAATAAATTGTTTATTACTGACAATGAAATGACTAGAAACTATCTACAGTCCATTAAATAATTGGCAATCATTTCTAGATGTATAAGTGTATTAGAAAGCTAAAGCACAGTGATTATTTTAAAAAAGAAAAAAATATATATAACTTAAAAAATTTATATTTAAAATATATGCATTTTCTAAATTTGCATTAAAATGAGCATGAAGATATTGATTTAAAAAATATAAGCTATATTGAATCGATCATGAATAAAACAGACCGATAAATATATCACAGATATAAATAAGGTAAGCAATAAATTTTTTTTCAGGTACTAGCTACTTCTTCCTGGGGTAGATAACCATGGTTCAAGCGTGCTATGAAGTAGTCTTCGCTGTTTAATAATAGATCATAAAATTCTTGGTTCGGCTCATTAGGCAAATTTCCACCTAAATGTTCTGGTAAAATAGCTGGCGGTAGATGTTTGTGCAAACTTTTGAGATCACTACCATGGAAATAGATCTAGAAATTAGAAGAGACATATGACAATATAATTTCAAAAAAAAATAATATTAATTATTTTTTAAAAAAAGAATATTTTATTGAGAAATAATCACATAATATGCAACAATATTGCATCTTATATATCTACGATGATGTAAATACATAAGATGCAATATTGTAGTTATAGAAACATTTCACGAGAAGGGCATAAATTTTTTTTTTTTTTTATGCTACTTAGATTTAAGAACAGTAAAACAGGCTCTTTAACCCGCTATCTACTGCATTATGAACTACTGAAAATTGTTTCATAAATTTTTTTTTGTTGGCTGCTATATTGATAATTAAAGAATATACAAGAAAAAAACTTTCTCCGGTGCAAAATTTGAAGACTGTTTCTAAAACGTACCATCAGAATATAAGTAATGGTTGTTGTGCTATAAAGTTTTAAAGTGATTGGTGCTTATAAGTACCGTCAGTAGATAAAGGGTTAAAGTGCTTTGATACATTTTACGATAGAAAATTGAATTATAAGACAAACAATCTATCCAAATGGTATATTTAATATCAATTTTAATATAGATATATTACTTGATTTTCTTTTAGCAAATAATAGCTTTTTCTGGAAAATAATTACTACAAGAACCAAAAACAGCCGAATTAAATTACTCTTTTAATTAAAATATATTTCTACTGGTACTCAAAATATAAAATGAAATTTAATTAGAAAAACTAATAAGATAGATAATAATAATAATTTTTTTTTAATGAAAATTCCTTTTAGACAGAGGAAAAATACTAATAAAAATGATAATTATGCCTATTGAAAATAGTTATAACAAATACCAAAATTATTAAGTTTTTTTAAAAGGTATATATAATATTAGATAATTGTAAATCAAGAAACCAAATATAACCGAAAAACCTTCACTTTTGATAGTAACAATTAAAAATTTATTTTGAAAGTAAATAAATTACTGGATTGTCAGATATTGTACAGATTTTCAAAAAATGATATGCCAAAAATAAATTCCTACTGGTGAGAAAAAAAAGGATCTATTTCATAAAAAATAAATAAATAATAATAAGGTCTATATCAGTTTACATTTTTAGTACAAGTATCAGTATCATTAAAATAATATATAGTTTAAAAAAGTAATAATTGCTTAGTTGACACCCCCCCCCAAAAAAAAAAATAATAAAAAATTATGATAAGAAAGAAAGAAATAGCAAATAAAGCATAATATGATATACTAGCATAATTAAGAAGATAATTCATAATGATTATGAAAATGCCCGATTTAATTAGTTAGTCCTAACTGCAACATTTAATAGTCTTTATAGTATTATGATTAGATAGTTCTAGAAAGTTGTAATTGTGTCTACCATTTTTATAAAAAAAGGATAGATCAAATTGAAAGTAAAAATTAGCCAGCACATACTACTTTTTATTCAGTTAGAACACATTTAAAGGGCATTACAGAAAATTGCATACCATCCAACAAATTGTGGTTTTTAGGAATATTTTTTCAATAAATTAGATTTAAAAAAAAAAAAAACATTGAGCAAAACTCAAACAAACTTTAATGTAAGATAATAACAAAATTAATAAGTTTTTTTTGCTAAGAATTTTCTCAAGTTCTAATAGGAAAAAAAAAACTCTTCAGAGATTGCTAAAATTTGAAAAACTCTGATAATCACTTGAAAATTGAGTCAGCAATTATGATATTGCAAAATTTATAATTACATATTTAATACTCATAACAATATGAACTAATGAATAAGCAACAACACATACTCTCTCTTTTATTTTTTCACTCAATATTGGCTTAACCAGTGAAAACAGCACAGAGAAAATAGTAGAGTGATTTATAATGTGGATGGCTTTGTCACGAATTGGTAAGCAATCCTAAAGGAAAAATTAAAAAGTAAAAGAATGAAAAAACAAACAAACAACAACTTAATTTTAATATATGAATTAAAATCCACAGAATAAAAAATCGTTATATGAGTAAAAGAAGAAACACAGAATTTATATTTTATTTCTAACAAATATAAATAAAAGAACAAAATTTGCAAATGTGTTTAACATAATATTGGTAAAGTAATAGTTTTTGACATTTACAGATTATATATGTTAATTTTACACAACTTCTTAATTTGCCGATAATGAACTACTTTTTTTTATATCCAATGATGTTTCCTATTTCAATTTTTTGTCCAGCAGTGGACTGATCATTAAGACACGGTTCCCAGCAGATCACCGAAGTTAAGCATCACTGGCTGCGATCAGTGTGCGGGTGGGTGACCACTTGGATTAGTCTGCGTAGGAACCGATGGTGTGTGGCATTGGTCCTTGTTAAACTGTTCTACTGTAAAGTGCTTGACTTCGCGCGCAGGTCGTCGGGCTACTGAAGAGGAGGTGCCATCCCCTCTGCAGAGGATAAAAATTGTGATTGCATGTCTTCGGATCATCCTCAGGGTTGTTTCCTAGACCGTCGCCAATAGCCCATTGTGCAGCCCTAGTGCAACGTAAATTAACTACAACTACAACCATTTCAATTTAATTAAAAAAACAATTTTAAGAATTAAGCTTAAAATAATAGCACTATAATATTATTCAAAGTAATAGTAGTTAATTGTCAGTCTAAAATCAAAGATAACTTGCAAATACAAAAAAAAGTTACAATCCTTAAACTAAAAAATAGAAATGCAGTAAGTAAATAAGTGAGTAATAGCAATAAGTGAAAGTAATAAATTAAAATCAATGGAAAATATGAACTATTTTGGATTAATCACCTGTAATGTATTGATAAAGCACCGGACTTCATTCATGGGTATTTGAAGCAAATGGGACCAAGAAAAATCCTTCATATCAGCAATGGTGATTGTACCACAAATTTGAGTAACTGGATTACGAATCGCCATTTCGTTGCACATGATGTTGAACTTTAGAAGTTCTTCACATGTTAAAGTGTTTGGATCCCACTTACCTAAGAAACATAAGTGCATCATTATTTTTTTTTTCCATAAAAAATACAGGATTTATACCATAACAGCATTTGAGGCAGTGAAGAAGTAAAATAAAAATATAACTAAAATTTTTCTTTTTAAAGCACATTAATGCTAAAAAATATTATTGTTTATTCTGTGAAACTCCAATTATTGGGTTTCAGTGGAAACAGATCCAAGCCAGATAATTGATTTTCTAATTAGTTTTGTAATCAGATAAAATAATATTATTACTTATAAAGAAAACAATATTTGATAATAGTCTATGTTTATAAGAACAATAATTATAATAGTCAATATTTTTTACACAAGAGAAATGTCTTTTACTGGCTATTAAATCTATTCGAAACATATTATTATTTATTATGTGAAACTCCAATTATCAGGATTCAGTGGAAACAGATACAATCCAGTTAATTAATTTTCTTATTTGTAATTAGCGAAAAAAAAATATTATTACTTATAAAGAAAACAAAATTTGATAATAGTCCATGTCTATAACAACAATAATTATAATAGTCAATATTTTTTACACATGTGAAATGTCTTTTACTGGTTATTAAATCTATTGGAAACATCCATAATTTAAGTTTTAATGGTCTGGAAATGTTTCAAATTTATTTCCTACTAAGTATAATTGTAATAATATTAATTGTAAATGTGACAACAATATGACTCATAAAATAATAAATTAATGATTTTCCTCCCCCACATACACAAAATTGAAACCAGTAAATAGAAATGTCATGCTGCCAATATGGCAGCACTGGTTCATTAAGGGTTAAATCTAGCTCATAGATCAGTTCTATACCTTTAAATTCTGTTATCATCTATTTTTCAATTAATTTATTCACTAAAACAATCTGCTTTTTTGGTGATTCAGATGATTGAAGTTCTAATGTAGACTAACTTATCTTTTTGTATACATTAACATTATTTATAAAATGTATAATAACATTCTGCCTATAAGTTCAAAACTAATTTTTTAGAAAGTTTTATGAATAATAATTTAGATAAACTCTACTTTAACACCAAATAAATTTGGTTTTTTTACCCTCACTTTTTGGACTTAAGTTTTATATAAATCTTTTTATTAGTTTCATTTCTCTAAGCAGAAGGTGTGGATAATTACACTTACAATATACATTAAGAAGTCAATTTAAAAAGCAAATAGCACAAGGGACATGTCGGTTACTGCAAAGCATTTTTGGCACAAGTGTCGTTCTGTAGTCAAAATTAAGATAATATTCCACACAAACCAAAATTATTATATCCATAGACCCTATAAATTGTATGCAAAAACAGATAATAGGTAGTAAATGCCTTTTTATTTTAATGATAAATGTGGAAGTACTAAAATTTAGTTAAGAGTGATGTGTGATAACTCATCAAAAATGATTTATCTGGTCTTGAAACTAGATGCCAAAAGAGGTTTTCGTTTTGCCTTTTTCCATTTACAGATGTAACAATAAATTTACTAAAACATCATTTATATCACAACTAAACTATATCATAAATGAAAGTTCAACAAATAAAAGTGATCTATTGATACCACATTTAAGCATAGCTGTATAAAAAGAGAAATATAGGGAAAAAATTAACAAAATAAACAAAGATAGAAATATTATTACAGGTTATTCAGAACTGAATAAAGCTTAAATAATAAATTTTGCATAATAATATCAATAAGGATAGGCCATGAGAGATAAATCCCCCATGACCAGCCTAATCAAACACCAAATTAAAAAGTGATTGAATTGATCCAAACAGACAGCTAGGAGCAGGGGAAGAGATCCATGGTTGGCGATTTATGGAAAGATAAAATAGCTAAAAACAAAACCAACCCCCCAAAATCAATATTAAATTTTAAAATAATTTGTCGAAAGCAAATCGCCAGAAAGACAGTGAGAATTAGTATATCCATGTAACTGAAAAATTTTTGCGGTAAGAAATGAAGAGTTTTCGATTTAGTCGAGACAGTGCATTAATGAGTCTTACATTAGTACTGAAATAAAAAGTTTGCCGTTACATTGATTGTTAAGAAAAGAATAAATATTTTATATTCACTATTTATAAAACGTAATAAAAATTAAATAATTAGTATAATTCAATCAAAAATTGATTAAGAATGATTATACAAAAGTTTAAGAAATTAAGAGATTTTAAAAGCTACGATAGTGATGCCACACTAGGCATTACATATCTCTTCCTCAGAAGCAATTAAATTTTTATAAATAAAAAAAGATAGGAAAAAAAACATAGAAATTACAGAAGGAGTATATATTTATTTATAATAATAATATTCTTTAACTAAAGTAATAATAGTTACCCAAGAAACGTTAATAGCAAAAATTTAAAAGCTCAATTAATGAAATTAATTCTAATATTACCAAACTTTGAGAGTAAAATGGCACATCCTTCTGGGCTTCTGTATGGTAGAAAGTAATGAATTCCTGAATTGATGGCATTCATACAAGAATGAGGATTGAAATTTACGAACATACTAGGAAGTTCCAATGGAGCTTTATAGTATTTTTTAATGAGCTCATTAGCTGCTTGACAGTCAAACTTCCTTGCCCGTAAGAACATTAGTAGAAAACTCTCATCTAAACAAGGAGTTAAACCTTTTTCATCTAAAGGGAAAAGAGAGAAAAAGAATACATAAGTCAAAATTTTAAGAAAAATAAATGGTATAAGCCCGTGAAAATTCTAAAAACTTAGATCTCAGAATTTGTTTTTTTAAAAAAAGTGATTACTTAATTAAAGAGTTGTCAATAATATTTTAGTTTTAACAGTTTTAGTTTCCATATTTAAGTATTATCTTGAAAAAAAAAATGGATTACTGGTAAATAAAGTTAAACCATCCTAAAGCCATTCAACCTGACTTAAACTTTTGGACTAGATTCAAAAAAGATAAAAAAAAAAAAAAAAAAAAAAAAAAAAAAAAAAAAAAAAAAAAAGAGAAAAAAAAGAAAGAAAGAAAAGAAACACTTATTATTTTAATTTAGCTCATTAACCATAAGTTACTGTAACCATTATTTAACTGTAAAATGATAAATCATACTTTTGAAAAGTTACAAAACTCAACTCAAATTTTCTAAGTACTTCATGTTTTGCTTAAAAATAAAAACAATGATAATTGCTATGAATCTAATAAAAAACAAATAACTAAAAGAAAGTTAACAATACTATAAACTAAATTTTAAATTTGGCAGAAATACTACTAAAAGACTTATGATTTATCTACTGACAGTAATTCCATTCAATTTTACGCATTTATACATATTCATATACTCAATAGGTAAAATTTATGTAATCTAATTTGTAATTCTTATTCAAAAATCATTACATAACTTTATTTTTAAAAAAATTATATTTAAAAGAGGGAGAAAAAGAAGTTTTTTTTTCTTTTTTAAAAAAAAAAAAATTTTTGAATTTACAACTTGTTTTTATACATAAAAATTTTACAAAAAACTAGTTTTTATACCTTTTTTCCTTATTATATTATCACAAATCATACATATTCTAATGAATATCAATTTAATGAGTAATATTCTAATTATATTCTAATGTACTATCTAATTATACTCCAATGAATTCTATTAAATTTGATCCTGATACAGAAAACAAGGGAACTCCTGGATAAAGTATAGGGAGAAATTAGCCTTGGTGGAAGATTTTTAATGGAAACCATCAAAATATGTTACTAATCCCTGAAGGAAAGAAGTATCAAAATTATCCACGATATTTTATATGGAAGTCTTCAATTCTGTCACACTGCTTGCCATCAGCATATATAATGCATAGCACAACCCGATCACATTTTTTTGGCTTTAACTTCAGGGTAATTGGCCAGCCAATCTTTGACAAGTTACCTGTTATCCAAAAAGGATACAGATTTTGAAAGGTGAATGGAGCATTTTCCACAAACTATCAACTATCTCTAAAAATATTTCATATTGTATTTTATAATTGTCCTCGAACAGCAAACCCAATTTTGAGTTTACGATTACCAACGTTCAACTCTGTAGTCTTGTAGGTTTGAACCCAATCCAGAAAACAAGGGAACTAATTTAATATAGAAACTTTGTTAATGAAATTTAACTATAAACTTTTTTAAATGCAAAGTATATGAAAACATAAATTTATTATTAATGTTTTCATATTATCTTATCTTTGACAAGTTACCTGTTATCCAAAAAGGATACAGATTTTGCAAGGTGAATGGAGCATTTTCCACAAACTATCAACTATCTCTAAAAATATTTCATATTGTATTTTATAATTGTCCTCAAACAGCAAACCCAATTTTGAGTTTACGACTACCAATGTTCAACTCTGCAGTCTTGTAGGTTTGTTTGAACCCAATCCAGAAAACAAGGGAACTAATTTAATATAGAAACTTTGTTAATGAAATTTAACTATGAACTTTTTTAAATGTTTTTAAATGTTAATGTTTTCATATTATCTTTTTAATTTGTGTCTCAATAATCTTTATAAATAAATCATTATAACTATAGATATTCAGCTTTAAATAAGGATTTACAAGCTTTAAACATTTTGACACACATTTGAACTATTAGTCCAGTTCATGTAAACCAATTGTACTTTAATGTTTTAAAAATGTCAGAACATAAATTCACATATTCATTTATAAAGTTTAAAATTTATTGCCCACTAATTTATTAAAAGTATATATGGGGTAAAAAAAATCACTTATTAACATTTATTGGCAAATTAAATTAAAATACATTGATTTGGAAATGATAAAATTTGTAATGAATATCAATGAGATAAAAAAAACAAACTTTTCAATAAATCTTTAAGATTTTCAAGATAAGTTGATAGTTTATCTTCTCTTTCATGTAATTCCAATTCAGCACATTTACGAAGATCTTCAGTAATAAGATCACATTCGAACTTCGTGAACTCTTCACTCAACTCTTTTTCCATGATTAAATCCTGCAGAGAAAAAAAAACGTAATTTTTTATTTCTCTGACATATATAATGAACTTTAATAAAAGCAGGTACTTATAACGCTAAAAAACGGCTTTTAAATATCAATTATATGTACAGATAGACATATAAAAAACAATTTTCGTTAGACCTGCATTAATACTTAAAAATTCAATTGAATTCTCACTTACGCCTGGATCATTTATTATGACATCATCACACTACCACTGTACTGTCCATCAACTCATTATGATTATAACCATACCCTCGCATGGTTGATAAATTGCGTGTCCGGTTTCCTAAATCATCAACAAAACGATTTTTTCAGACAGAAAGTAGCAGTAGTTAGCGTCTTTTTTCTCTTTTCGATTTGTCTCATTGATAATGTAGGATCGAACATAAACGCTTTTACCTAACTTTACAGAAATACTTCAACCAATGGGTTACAAAACATAATGGGGATATTTTCTATGACGTCAGAAAATAATTTAACATTTCAATGCAGGAGTTTTTCTTTTCTTTTTTTTTTTTAAATTTTGAGTCGCAACTTGTAAAAGAGGAGCCATAAAAGAGGAACACGCAAAAAGTTCCCTTATATTGAAAGAAAACAATTGTGATTACAAAAAGAGAAAAATTAACTTACTTATGGAATGCTTGTTGTTGTTGTTAATTTACGTCGCACTAGAGCTGCACAATGGGCTATTGGCGACGGTCTGGGAAACATCCCGGAGGATGATCCGAAGACATGCCATCACAATTTTGATCCTCTGCGGAGGGGATGACTTATGGAATGTAAGGGTTACTTATGGAATGCATAGGGTTTCCCTTTAACAAATTTTTCGTTATAACTTACTGCCAAATGTAATGCAGTAAGGTAAATCTAAAATTTTTTGACTTTGATATTTTTCCATCGATATTGGAATAAATATTTTCTTGAAGTAACGAGGAAAAACAAGAGGTCGAAAATTTCTCTCTTAATTCGCCTTCCAGTCAAGTGGTTCAATCAGAGTCAGAGAACATAAATGAACTTAAAGAGCGCATAAATTAACTTGAAGACTTGCATTATAGCTCCAAGATTCACGATTGCAATGCTCGAATACGCCATCTGGAGAGAAGATGGCTTTCCTCTCATCTTCTTCTCAGTTGTAAAAGAATGTACTACGAAGTTTTCCCCTTTCTTAATATTTTTCGTATTTAATTGTCGAAAATATTTTTTAAATTTCCACAATGCTTTCCTTTAGAACTATGTTCAGTAAAGTTTTCAGTTCCATACAGTTTCCCAACTTGAATTCGCAGTCTCTTGAAGGAATGAAATATCCTTAATTTCTTGTAAATGGTAATAAAGAATTATCGATTTCATTTTTGTTACTTGATTTGCAAAATTTATAAGAAGTTTTGAACATTCTTTAATGAGCTAAATATTTGTGTTAAATTTTATGCATCTACTTTTTAGTCAGCACAGTTTATCTTAGAACTTATTATAAGAAATTTAAAAAGTATATTTCTTAGACATTAATTTAATTATTATCAATGAAATATTTTATTGATTTAATCCTGCCATATATATATGACAGGAAACTAGTTTGTTTTGTTTCCAAAAATGTTTTTTATTTTTTTCCCAACCCTACTCTGTTAAAGCAGTTTCCAGTTTTGTTTTGACTAGTGTAACACTAACAATTTCCTAACGTGTTTTGTTTTTATACAATCTATACTTAAATTCACTGAAACAAAAATGTCATTCAAAATTTTTTCACTGAGAGGTGCATTTCAACATTTAAAAACTGATATGTAAAACAATTTTTTGTAAAAGAAGTATAGACAATAAAACCAATGAACTTCGAATCAGCAAAAAATAGAAATTGCATATATTGTTATAAGTGTTATGAGATATTAACATTTACGTGACTACTTTTTTTCACATAACCAGTTAAAAATCAGCAAAACTTAGATGATTTGGCTCAAATTATTGCACTATTACGAGATGTTGCAGCAATTTAAAAATAGAGCTTTGATAATATTACCAAGTAAAATGATAGGTGTCAAAATTTCTAAAAACATATACATAGGATAAGAAATATTAATATAATTGGTTTAAAAATGCTTTATTTTGTCCCTGTCACTTTATGTAGTAAGCACAGGTGTCGATAAAATCAATGATGATGAAATAAAATATGAAATAAAATATTGTTCCTTGGGGTTAAAAAAATATCTTGGCAATTGAATATTTATGCTATTATTCAATTGTCTAATTTTGAATAAGATTGTGTATTGGTGTAGGCAAGAATGAATAACCAAAACTGAATTGGCTTGGGAGAAAAAGACCTGAAGGTGCTCTGGAGTTCAAGGGAGATATATCGGATCAAATTGTAGTTTCTCGATTGATCAGTGGTCTTTTAAAGAGCTTAACATTCAAATTTAGGTGGAAAGTCTTCCCAACATATGGCAAGTGCAAATTGAAGCTTGCTTTCCTCTTGATTGCGTGGAATTTTCCTCGGAGGACATTCTCTTGCGACCAGTGTTGGTGTGTGACTTTGCCAGAGCGTTTGAACTCATAGATTTGATATAGCTGAGGCTATATTGTGAAGGATTAGAAACAACAGTAACAACAACGAATAACCAAAAATAATAAAACAAGGAGATATCGACGCCGGATTTGATTACTATCAAAAAAGTAAAATAATCAGAAATCTGATTTTTTTTGTGTGCACGCTGAAATTTTTTTTAATGATTTCCTCATTTATGAAATATTTTAATAAACTTATTAAATAATATGAATATTTCATTTTTAAAAAAAAGTAAAATAAATAATTTTTAGCTGCTTTATATGCACACTTCATTGACATTCTATAATTTATTTTGAAAACAATTAATGTAGTCAATTTTTTTAAATTTACAAAATTTAAAAAATGTAAGATTTTAAAACTTTTAACGCTTTTTTTATTTTTGCATTTTCTTCCTTAATGATTGCAGTGTTAACAAATCTAATGCATTCATTCACTTATAGGTCGAACGTACTAGAATATTTTCTATGATTAGTCATGGAATGTAAGAAAAAATTTAAAACGTTCACGCAGCTTTAAAAATTTTAATTTATATTCAATACACAATTTTATTATCATCATGCTAATTTGCAAAATTAGCATAATGATATTAATACACTTCATGCTAATTAATTTTTTTTAAAAATTTATTTTAAAGTCTTATTAACGGACGAAGATTAATTCAAATAACATTCAAACGCAATTATAAGCCATATTGTTAATGAAAAACCACATTTTTCTTGCTCATAACGTTTTAAAGACAGAGAGAGGGAATGTGTGAGTTCGGAGTAGTTTGAAATACAAATATATACAAGCAATAAAAGAGAGAAATCGATATTTCAGTCATTTTTTTAGATACTGTGATCCTTCACTTCATAAATAATAACTTTCTGCTATTTTCTTTTATTTTTACCAATTTAACTTATTGTTATAAACGACAAAGTCACTTTCTTTCTAAATATACCTAGTCAATCTAAACTTAGTTCCACAAATATTTAAATATTTCAAAAAGAATACCAAAAGAAAAAAAAAACTTTCAGTTACTATTTTATTGAGAATTTCCTTCTTAAACTAAAAAATTATAGTTTCTGAATCAATAATATTAATTACAGTTGGAGGCAAATATTATACATAAAAATACAATTTTATAATAGCACCTAATTTTTCTATTATTTTGAAATCGAGAACCATGAATTATTAACATTTTCATTCGTAAAATTAATATCCCTAAAATTTGAATAATAGGGGATATACTACTAAGAATTCATGTAAATAATATTATAAGTTTTAATGATTATGGAGAATTACAGCATAATTAATTTTTTTCTTTTTAAAAATACAGTTGCTTTAGTTGTGGTTATCTGTGTTCTTTTCAAATCAAGCACTTTTGCATATGCTTAACACAGGTTGCAGGTATCATGGTTTTATAAAATTAAAACCAAAATTAGAAAAAAAAAATGTATGCTGACAAATATAGCTAAACAAGAAACTAAATAGATCTTTTTTTCAATTCCTACTATTAGTTCACACTCTTCCTATATATATTTATCTTGTTCAAATTTTCAATCGTTAATAAAATACTTTTAATTCATCCACTCAAACTCAAATATATTTTTTTTAAACTTGTTGTGGATGACATTTGATGCTAATACAGTTTTTTCAAAGATTAATTCATTCATTAAATNATTTTTTTTGTGTGCACGCTGAAATTTTTTTTAATGATTTCCTCATTTATGAAATATTTTAATAAACTTATTAAATAATATGAATATTTCATTTTTAAAAAAAAGTAAAATAAATAATTTTTAGCTGCTTTATATGCACACTTCATTGACATTCTATAATTTATTTTGAAAACAATTAATGTAGTCAATTTTTTTAAATTTACAAAATTTAAAAAATGTAAGATTTTAAAACTTTTAACGCTTTTTTTATTTTTGCATTTTCTTCCTTAATGATTGCAGTGTTAACAAATCTAATGCATTCATTCACTTATAGGTCGAACGTACTAGAATATTTTCTATGATTAGTCATGGAATGTAAGAAAAAATTTAAAACGTTCACGCAGCTTTAAAAATTTTAATTTATATTCAATACACAATTTTATTATCATCATGCTAATTTGCAAAATTAGCATAATGATATTAATACACTTCATGCTAATTAATTTTTTTTAAAAATTTATTTTAAAGTCTTATTAACGGACGAAGATTAATTCAAATAACATTCAAACGCAATTATAAGCCATATTTTTAATGAAAAACCAAATTTTTGTTGCTCATAACGTTTTAAAGACAGAGAGAGGGAATGTGTGAGTTCGGAGTAGTTTGAAATACAAATATATACAAGCAATAAAAGAGAGAAATCGATATTTCAGTCATTTTTTTAGATACTGTGATCCTTCACTTCATAAATAATAACTTTCTGCTATTTTCTTTTATTTTTATCAATTTAACTTATTGTTATAAACGACAAAGTCACTTTCTTTCTAAATATACCTAGTCAATCTGAGCTTAGTTCCATAAATATTTAAGTATTTCAAAAAGAATACAAAAAAAAAAAAAAACTTTTAGTTATTATTTCATTGAAAATTTCTCTCTTAAACTAAAAAATTATAGTTTCTGAATCATTGATATTATTTAAAGTTGGATGCAACTATTATACATAAAAACGCAATTTTATAATGGCTCTTAATTTTTCAATTGATTTGAAATCGAAAGAGAACTATGAATTATTTATTTTTCATTCTCAAAATTAATAGCTGCAATATTTGAATAATGGGGGATATGCTACTGAGAATTCAATTAAATAAT